AAACTGAATTATAAGATGCACCCAAAACTCAAGTGTTAAAGTTTGAATCCTTCCTTCCTTCCCAAATGTAAATCCATTCAAAGATATATAAAATCTATTTAAAATTTAATATATTTTTAAAAATAAAAAAAATTAAAAATTAAAGCACCAAATATTATCAAAGGAAGCCTTAAACTTTTTATATTTTAATTATTAAAAACAATAAATGGTTATAATTATTAACCCATAATGGATAGAACAACTGAAATTTAATATTAGCATTGTATATACTTTTAAAAATAAAAAAAAAAAAAATTAAAGCACCAAATATTATCAAAGGAAGCCTTAAACTTTTTATATTTTAATTATTAAAAACAATAAATGGTTATAATTTTAACCCATAATGGATAGAACAACTGAAATTTAATATTAGCATTGCTTTTTTTTTTTTTTTTTGCCTGTTTTCTCATTGTCAGGGTGAATATTTGCTGACTTTATAAAGCGCTAAGTTGAATTTTCCTCCAAATATTAAAAAAAAAAAAATCCCTTACAAACTTTGTTATTAAAAAAGCCCCTCAAAATACTTTAATAGTAACCCTCTCTCTCATCTATACAATATCATAATGCCACCAACGGCCAAAATTAATAGGAGTGGACAGATGCCCCCTCTCCATACATTTCTTTTGGCCCTGACCTCTATATGATATCTTTTCTTTATTAAAGAATTGCTAAATGGGTTCTTACTTCTTTTAATATGGCTAAAGAGCTTTGTGAATTCTCTCGAGGCGAATTTTGTTACTAAAAAATTTGACCTTCAACAGTTCAACATCAACATATATCAATATCCACATCAAATGATGAGCCCAACTACAAAAGCCATGAATTATCATCATATATTGTTAATTTTGATCTTTTATTAACATCAAGTCTTTGAGTCTCATAGTGGTGGGTTGATGAAATATTACCAACGTTTTCCAGCGTCAATGCTGTTCAAGCTAGCCGTTGGTTCAAGCATTAATGCTGATCAAATAGTGCTTTACACTTTTTTGCTTCATATTAATTGATATTTTACGAGAAAGTATAAGAATTAAGAAAAGCAATTACTTATTTTAAGATTTTTTTAATTTGTACTTTAAGTTTATTTTTTATTATAAATTTATATTAAAATTTTTTAAAATAATATTAATTTTAATATCTTATTATATAAATAAATTTAATTAAATAATTAATAAATTAAAAATTAATTTTATTTTTCTAATAAAAATTTATTATAATAAAATGTATTATATTTATTACACTCTAAGAACATATTTAGATAAACCCTTATTCTAATACACCATTTTGTATCATTGAGTTCCTAAACTGGCAACTGTCAAGTTAGGAGGTAAAAAATTTTTGTCCTAAAAAGTCGGTTAGCAACCCCAATTGGAAATATTGTGAGGTAAATATTATTTTATATGATAAATTTAGAAGTTTTAGGATTAACACTTTAAAAAGTTAATTTTTTTAAATATATTAAACTAATATAAAGTACATTTTTTTTTAACCTGACCTGAAGGGTCAAGTGGCCTTAACTACATTTGTAAGGTTCATATCCTCCTCCCAGGACAACGGTTCGAGTCGGCTCCATAACAAAAATGTTCAAAAATAATAATAATAATAAAGTACATTTTAAAGATTATTTAAAAAATTTAATCTCAAACCGTATAAGAAGTGAGCTCAAGTACACTTACCTGTCAAAAAATGTCGGTTAATTTAAAACAAGGTGGACCAATTTATATGTCCAATCCAGTTAAGGCCATGTCGAAGGGAATGAAGCTAACCAAAACCAACGTGAGTCGTTGAGTTGGATTGGGTAGGTATAGCTCATCAATTGGGAGGAGATAAGGGAAACAATTGGCAGAAAGAGTACCACAAGACATTAAAGAGCTTTTGCCCTCCATTTTTAAGAAAATGTGTGGAATGCAAATATTTTTGGCCTTTTTATTTTTTATGAACTAATACAATTGAGGAATTTAAATGAAATTGTTAAGGTTTAAATTTTAAATTTTAAATTTTTAAATGTTATTTTATTTTTTAAAAGAGTTATGGTCATTAAATTACAATGGTAATAGAGAATTTTGGACCTCTTTTGGCACATAAGTTATGGAAGAAACCCCAAAGCATCGTTGGGAATTATTCAAATATAGAACCCCTAAATTCGAATAAGAGTTGGCACTTGGTTTGAAGAAAATTAGACTTCGTTTTAAGTGTTGTATTGTCCTGAATTGTACTTTAATTATATGTTTTTCTTTCGTTTTTATTATTTTAAAATAAATAAAAAAATATACAAATTAATTAGAAATAATAAATTTATGTTTTTAAATAAAGTATTTAGTGAAAAGGGTTTGTATGAAGCATAGACAAACAAAATCTTAATTTTTAATGTAATTGAAGTGTGGTATACGTGTATAAAATAAAATAAAATACATAATGAATTTTTTAATTTACTCTTTCTATCTTATAATAATTATTTTTTTTATTTTTTTCTTTAAATTAAATATTCGGAAACTATTTATATTTTTATTTATATTATTCTTAAGAAAAAGTTAAAAGATAAAATAAGATTTTGTGTGAAATGATAATTAATAAGAATAAATTAATAATGATAAAGTAAAAAAAAATTTCTCTATCTTAAAAAAATAAAAAAATAAAAATTAATTTAAAACAAACTCAAAACAAATAATAATAGTTATTTTGAAATAAAAAGAGTATGTATTTAGACACATTTAAATATACAATAAATATATTTTTTAGTTATTAAATTATATAAAAATAAAAATTAATTTTATTTTCATTAATTGATCAACTAATTTTATACATGTTGTATTAAAATTAACTATCATTTTTTTTATATAATTTAATAATTAAAAATACATTTATTGCACTGTTAGCATATGCTACAAAAACATAAGTTAAAAAAATAGAAAATTACACTATCTAAATACGAAATGAATTATATATATTTTTATTTCATAATTGGTCTATTAACAATAATATAATAATTATAATATTATGTAAAATTATAAATTTATTATCATAA